TACATATCGTCAGTTTGGGAACTCCAAACATTAGATCTGAAACTCACATGTAGAGTCACAGAACGGATCTAAACCACGCTGCTTTATAATCATCTTTACAATCAGTGTTAAATACCAACACATACAAATGAAGAGACCCTGTTAACATTAAAAACATGATGCGATAAGTTACCTGACTGAGAATGTTCCCCACTGCAGCGCTCCTCCTTGTTGAACTTGTGGATCTGTGGGACAGAGAGCAGCAGCAGATTAAAGTCAAAGCCTGGACTGTGACCAAGAGTCGCTGCTACTTCTCCTCCTCTGTGAGGAATATGATCGGCCTGATTTTTTTTGCTCCTTCAAAGCAACACGCTGGCAGGATTATTATTCTGTTGATGTGAGTCAGCGATTTGATGCACTTTATATTTTCATCTTTTCATCTTACCTCAACAGCTGAGTGGAATTTACAAGTACAGCTCAGTGTATTGATGTGTTTGAGTTGAACTGCAAAAAGTGCATACATTTTGTATTACACTGAATACTGTGTTTGCATGTTTGTGCACAATCTGAAAGCAGTGAGATGTTTTAATTTCAAGGATTCTCTGAAGACCTGCGAAGCTGGTAACAGATACAAACATCACTCCACTACAAAGACAAAGACCAGAATATATATTTTTAAAATCAGTGGTTCTGTCTAAAAATATTACTCCATAAAAATGTGTAATATATGTGTAAACATCTTCATTCTACAGTACATGACTACCACAGTACCACGGTAACCAACACACTAGCCTGTGGTTGTAAGTTACAGCTATTTTTACCCAGTCATATATATCAACATTTATTTTCCCCCAAAAATAAAATACTATGAATGGACAAGAAAGTTGAAAGAACAGCCTTTGTGTATGTACTGAATGATCTCTTTACATTTGCTGAAGATCAGCCAAAGACAGGATGCAGTGTCATGTTATGAGTCGTTGTGGTCTGTTCCAGTGTTTAGAATCTTTGGCAGTTTTATCCCCTCTTTATCCCGGAGCGTGGTCCTTCACTTTGACAGCAGGACTTATTGATTTCACGTTGCTTTTCCGTGATGCTCTCACTCAAAACCCTGAGCTCACACCAGCTTGTGCTCACATTTCCTGCTTTCCAGCTTTAGCTCCTCTCCTCCTTCTGTGTGAAACCTCTGCTCTCAGATTTTTTCTTCTGCAATCATATTGTTTTAGCTCAACAAAGATTTGTTCCACAGATCAAACCCCCCCAGCCAATAGAAAACCAGGTGTAGTGTTTAACAAGTGAAGATGTCCTGCTCCTGTTGTGGATGTGTTAGGTTCCTGTCTCCTGTCCAGTAGACTGCTGGTCAACATGGGACAGCAAAATCAAGGAAGTTTTTTTTACATTATGGGAAGACTGTTGCTAGCAACTAAAAGGACAAAATAGACACCACCCTGTGTCTTTACACCTAGTATTTTATGGGAACAGAACCAGCAGCAAAGGCAACAAAAACGAGGGTGAGGACATTTCTTTGGTCATCAATTTACCTAGCACTCTATTGGTTGGGGAATTTGAACAGACTTGTTTCATGGACAAATCAGAGAGCAGACGTTTCATGTACGCACAGAAGCAGCTTGACGTGAGGAGGTCAAATTATATATTACTATCTCATTTTTTAAAAGAAAAATACAGTATTAAATAGCATATTTAGTTTCACAAGAGTCTAATAATACAAGATATATAAGCTGACATTTGAAAGTGTTTCTGAGCTGCATTTGCCACTTTGAACCCCTCAGCACATTTTCCCATGTCCATAATAATATATTTCCATGCAGGTGACAACGTGTACAGAACATCCTGTTAGTCACACTCAGGATGTGTTGATATTTGGAGTCTCCAATCCGGTTACAGAAGATTTCACTGCACCTTAACATATTCCTGACACTGCTTCATGCACATTCATGAGATGATCAACGCTTACATAAAAAATGAAATGTATTAATTCATTCTAATGAAAAAGAAGAAATCGTAAGAAATATTATTTTGATGTGGTTCCTGAATTGTCCGTGTATCAAATATCATGTTCAGGATCCATGTCACTGTCACACTGTTGCTTATTTTCTCTTTTTCCTTTCTAACTATCTAAGTTGCTTGCTCTCAGGTCTCCAGTGCGTCCCATACAGAGTAAATAGGATTAAGACAGTATAAACACTTCTAATGACATACAAGGTTGCCAGATTTAGCTGGCTGCATTTTAATGGGCTTCTTGGGCTGCAAAGCACAAACAGACATGAACTTTTTTTTTTTTTTAAACATATTTTGATTGAACTTCACTGAAGCTGGGGAATAGTTGAGATTATGATGAGCTTTAATTGAGAGGGAAAGACAAACAACATTGACCCTAAAGCTGCTGTAAGTCTGGATTGCTTAGACAAATACTAGTGACTAAACAACACAATGAAATGGAAACCGTGGTGTTCCGCCAAACATCTGGGTGGGAAAAGATGAGGAATAATGTGAGACTGTTAGTGCTCAGAGGAGAATGTCCCAAGAATCAGATGAGTAGTATCCTGAGAGGACCTCTGTGGCCCTGGCTTCTTAAATGGATAAAGGTGTCAGTGTGGTACATGTTCTCGACATGATTTACTTTAAAATTACACTGAATATTTAACTTTTCTCTTTGCATCACTTCCCATCCATGATGACGACACCCTGATAATACCATTCAGTTTGACAGCGCACAATTCAGGTTGTGGTGGATGACTTCCCTGATTTCGGGAACGGGATCAGTCACTGCCATGTCTGAGGTTTTCCAATCCCAACAAACGGGAATGAATGCTATTTGGCTTTGGCAGGCAGATGCCAACGGCTGACTCACCTTATGTGCACACGATGAAAGAGAGCAATGAGCTAAAGCTATAGTCCCTGTGCAGCTTTGCCTGAGGTATAAATAGCCCTGGCGCCTGGCTGATGGTCCTCCCAGGCCTTAGCCGGGGGATCCTGGTGCTTAGCCGTAGCTTAGCATAGTATGACGTTATTGGCCTGGAAGCCAGCTGAGAGCAGCGACTCACCTGCTTCAGAGTATGTGTGCACACTCCTCAGCAGAGCTGGCAGCCTGAGAGGCTACATGCCCCAATGGAGTATTTGAATCTGACACCTGAGCCCACAGTTCATTTCAAGTATTAATGTAAAACTTGGTGCCAGCAGAGTTTTCAATCAATGCTCACGTCCAGATTGGCCTCAGTCATTCACTTCTCCACCCGGCTTGATTGGGCCAAGTTGTACTGTAGCATTAAAACTGCTGACGGACCGACATTTACTTAAGGTACACGACAGCAAAACCTTTCAGCCTCAAAAGTGGGCTCATTTGTAAATCAAATTGTGTCTAAGCATTTTCCTTCACCAAACAGCTGCAAGTAAGGCTTGTAAGCTAAAGATTTATCATCTGAGCCTGCAAATCTGCAGTTTGGACAGATTTCAGAGTATGTGGTTTCAGCTTTCAAAGTGCTGCTAATGTGCAGGTGCTATTTATTATGGGCTGGAGGGCAGGCAAGGAAAAAGTGTTTCAAGTTTGAATTCTTGCCTCGGGTACTTGCATAAGCCTTTATCCGAACGACTGAGATGTTTACTGCTTTGTTTAACAGCTCTTGTTTGACTTCTGGTAGGAACTCCTATTGATCTCAGGGAGAGTGTAGCTAAACAGTTTGTGACGACTTAAATCATGAGGCCCAGCGACAGAAAGAAAACTCAGAAATTCATTGGGGTATTATTTGACTCACCTGATTGTTGTTGTCTACGTGAGGTCTTTTGATGGCTACAAAATGTCGGATTTTACTGTAGAGAGCGAGAGAAGAATGTGTCAGTGATGATTGCTCAACGACATCAACAGTATGTGATCACTTTGATTCATGTCCTCTTACCCTCCTTGGCCAATGACGGGTGTTATCTTCACATGCTGTTGTATACTGTCGCCTAATTTCTTTCTGGCATAGTAGATACCCTGCCATTCCTTAAGAGACAACAGAAAGAGTCAGGAATGTAACAGAGAGCTCATATTTCACAGATGAATGGATGGTTGGACGGATGGCCTGAGAGACAGACGGATGGATGGGTGGACGGACAGATGGATGAATGGATGGGTGGATAGTTGGATGGATACATGGGAGGATAGATGGATGGGTGGATGGATGGATGTGTTACCGACCTTTCCTTTTTTGATGCAGGTGTTGATGGTTTCCAGCAGGTCGGCTCTGTTCTTGTCGCTCTTGGGGAGTTCAGTCAGTTCTTTCCCGATCAGCTCCCCCTTGTGGTAGCCCATCATCCGCTCAAATGCTGGGTTCACATACTGGGAGAAAACAATAAAGGTGTTAAAGGTTACAAAAATGGAAGCCTAATATTTTACTCCTCCAAAGGGGGGGTGCATCAGTGAATCTTTATTTGTTGTTTGTTAGTTTGCAGGATTACACAAAAACTACAGTGGTGGAAGGATGAGGTATGGGTCAGAGCACCCACTTTGGAGCAGGAATTTCTTCTTCATTTCACTTTTTCAACATTGCAACATCTGCCGTTTTTCAACATTTCTGTTGATTTCCCACAATAATTCACGATGATATAGAGAACTGCCTTGGTGGAGGTGGAGCGTTAGGAAACGCTTGAGCGATGTAGTTTCTTTCATACTGATTCCACAATGTCCTGTTGTTGTAAAGACTCATGACTGCATCAAATCCACAGCTAAAAATAGTCCCCAGCAAACACAAAGCTCACGTGAGTTGAAATAACTAGAGCTCTTTGAGAGATTTACGTCATCAGGAGGAACAAATGTGCCTGGGGCTGAGTCCCGATCGATAGACAGGCCGACACCCTTTTGTGGATTTGTTATGAAAAAAACCAGAGAGAATAATGTCCTCATGCTAGAGGACAGATTTAATGTTGTCCTCCTTGTGTGTTGTCTCTACCTGTATGATATGGTCCTCATTGGTGATCTCCACAGCCTCTTGACAATGTTCCAAAGCAGTGAAGATGGAGTTACAAGCCCTGAGGACGAATAAAACCACAGCAACTCAGGAATTTTACTGCAAACACGACCTTTTACATCCATGCACAATGTACGTGTGGGGTGGAGGTGTTTGTCTTCTGCTGTACCTGAGTTTGAACTGGCAGCGCACCTCTCCATGCTCCATCTGTATGAGCTCATTGTAGCAGGCTGACACACTGCTGTTCTCCACAAACCTCTGGAGAACAAACCAGGTTAAACAGCGTTTGAAGGGGAGGGAGAGAGACAAGTGGAAAATTGAATGAGTAACGATTCACTCGGTGGCGACTTGTTTTGCAGCCTCCTACGTCATTTTCACACCATCAAAGACAGCTGACAATAAGTGCTTCTTTCAATACTGGCAACATGCTGCTATTTTAGTAGCCAGAGTTCACTTAGGTGCCTGTTGAAAAGCTTCTATGGGAATCAAGAGCAACACACTGAGGCCTACGTTTGTCTCTTACAAACACACAGTCACAAGCCATAGCAAGTTGTCGGACGTACTCTGCTAAATCCAGCGCAGAGGAGAGGAAGAACAGATGGCTCGTCCTGGTCAGGCGGTCTATACAATGAAAGGAAAGAATTATTACCATCTGCAACCTCGGCCATTTTTTCAGAAACATGCATGTATTGCTCCACACCAACAGTATGTGGAAGGCTAAAGAAATCGAACTCACTTTTGTGGCACAACGGCAAGAATAACTGTGTTTTCTGAGGGTTTTGTGGCACGAATCAACCTGGAGAGAAAACAGACGAGGATTAAAAGTCTGGAGTGACAACAGGAGTTCGTTTCATCCACACTGTGAGCTCATGAGAAGTGGCTCGCGCTCAGGTACAGGGTAAACACTGTGGCCGAGCTTGGGGGTGATGTCATGGCCACAAAAGATGGGCGGAACATTCCTGTGCTGAACACAGAAACACCAACACATCTGCCTCAGAGGTTTGACCGCAGAGCCCAACCACTGGAACAGGGTGACAGTGATGGGGGATGAAAAGGAGGAAGAGAGGGAACGGATGATGGCAGAGATCCTCGTGGGTGGGACAAGGGTGGGAGAGAAAGGAAAGGACTGAAGGACAAACAGGGAGGAGTGGCCAAATGGTGGTAATCGGAACAGCAGAGACGAATGTGTCTGCTCCTTTATTTGGAGGAATAATGAAGCACTTACAATAAATCCCTCTACAAAATACACAGTGGTGGCTTTTAGTGTAACCAGTGCAGTCTCTAACAATAACTACAGCCTGCAGAAATCATGACCGCAGAAGTAGTCTTCACTGAAGATAATGAGGAATACGACTATTTCACCTTAATACCACGGTGAGGGAGTTTAGGCAGAAACAAAGTCTTTACGTTACATTAACATTTAATTTCCACAGGGAGATCTGTCTGGCAAACTCCTCCTCTTTTAAAGATATATCTTTAAAGGTGTCCTCTCTCCTCGCCCTGATCTCTTCAATTTTATAATGATTTATTATGTATTTTTTTACTCTATTTTCATCTGCCACATTTTTATTTTTGTAATTTGTGCTCTATTGCTGTGTGATCTTCAAGTGTCCCTTGTTGTTTGCATTTCATTTTTCATTTTTAACTTGTAACTGTGTTTTGAAATGAATTTTTATCCTCATTACTGATATCCTTGTAATGACACATAGATGGCATTCACATAGGCATTAATACATCCATCTACAACCGAACAACTTCCAAGTCAAAAACTCTCAGTCTGCAGTTGAAGCTCAATCAAATGCCTGCGTGTTTCAGCAGTGACCTATAACGTGTGACCTGCAGTTTTATCCAATGCTGTTTCGTTTTAGTGCAAAACACAGAATTTAGCAACAAGGAGACCTCCAGCTGTCAGTCTGTGTGCAGCTCCATATGCTACCTACACCTGTGGTTCTACAAGTGAACACTAGATGGCACAAACAAGCCCTCCACCACAGTTCACATCACTGTAACTGCTTTGATACATGAAAGTCCTTGTATATTGCTGATTTCAGGTTTTATGATGGTCTCTCACCTGCAAGGACTGTTTTTTAAATGCATTTTGAGATTATTTTTAAAAAATGTGATAGATTGCTTGTTTAAATACTTATTATACTTAAGTGACCTGTCCCAGATTATCATATTATGGCAGAATGTTTATTTTGGCCCTAGAAAATTTGTTAGAAGTTCCAATTTCTTCTAATGTCAGTCGGTTAAAGTGAGGGCAACCATTTGCGCCAGGTCACAAAGTTCAGGCTCACCGGCAGACAGCTTCAGGCTCAAAGTAGCGTGAGTGGCGTCCATCGATGACTATAATCTCATGGTGCTTGTCCAGGAAACACTCGACGGCAGACTCCGGCGTCCGTGCGATGTTACATCTGAACCCGGCGCGGTCGCAGGCCCACCAGAAGGCATCGCTTTGGCTGTCCTCCTTGGCGAACACCAGCAGGACCTGAGGAGACAGAAGGGAAGGTCAGGGAGGGATGCTACTGGTGATACTCGCAGAATATCTACTGTAGGTGAGCATGTCTACACTACATTTACACTTCAGACAGGACATCCAGAGCTGCAGACCTCAGCTGTCATGAGACTGCATACATGACTGTTAAACCCTTTCAATATCTTTAAAAATAAAGTTTTATTATATGGCTGTTCTGCCAGATTAAAATGTCAACTGGCATCAGCTGCAGCAACAACAATATTTCCAATATAGAGAACAGAACCACATCATTTACCTTAAAAGTCTGTATGGATTGTGCATATTAAAATCTATAAAATAATGTGGAATTTCAAAACAATTTAAAGGATTTCTTGTCTCCTTACATTTCAAACTGAGGGAAATTTGAATAATTTAATCCAGGGTGCTGTATGGTTATTGCAAAGGGTGTGTGCATTATGGAATAAAAACAAACCTTATCTTTAAACAGGTCAGAGTCAGCAGTGGTGGAACATTTTGTTTTGTCAATATCAAGTGGGTGACTGATGAGTGGCATTACACCTCTTAGTTATATCATCTTATGCACCTCTTCGGAGAATAGATGATTACAGTATATATTGTCTATTACTGTGGGTTCCTCTTTGCTTGTTTTCCCCGTGCACATGTGCAGGTTGCTGCTCTGTCTTTTGCTCAGTGCATGCTGGGATAGACTCCAGCCTCCTCAATGATCATGAATAGGGGTATTTAAGCCGGATGGATGGTACAGCTGGACAGACAACATCATGTAAACTTCATGTCAATACCCCTGAGCTGAGTATTTCAATGTGAATTCTGGATTTCACACCAGCGGACATGAAGCCTGCAGAGCCCTTGTTTTTGATCCCACACTGTGTTTTGACCACGAGCACACCAGCCACCTTTGGTACAGTGGTGAGGAAATACAAGACTGCAAGAGACACATACAGTAGACACACACACACACACACACACACATACACACACACAGGCAGCTGGGCTGCAGCCAGAACCAACAGTACTCAGCTCTGCCTCGCAGCAGCATCACCTCCTGACTCCCTCAAAGGACAACAAAGGATAGAGTGACAGACAGAGAGCATGGAGGGTCAGCAGAAAGAGAGAGAGAGAGAGAGAGAGAAGGAAAGAGAGCGAGCCCAATTCATGACTCCCAATTTCTGCACAGGTAGAGCAGTGTGATATTGAGCCATGAAGTCCTTCACACCTGGAGATAAGGCTGACAGAAAGTAGAATATGTAAAAGAACAGGTGAGAATGGCAGGAGGTGAAGAAGAAGAAGAGGGCGAAGAAAAAGAAGAAGAAGAAGAAGGGGAGGAGGAGGATAGAGAGAGAAAATGAGCTAGCATTGGTGAGTGCCTGTGAAAGGTCCACAGTCTTTGATCCCGTGCTGGCTTGTGTAACCATGGCGCTGCTTTGTGTAACCATGGTGCTAGCATGTGAAATTCCACACACAGAGGACCCAGTCGACCCTGGGACGACGCCGACCGCACACGTCTCCGACCCGCCACCCAAATATGTCACCAGCAACAAGCCTGGTAGGAGGCGCCGTTGGTCTTAATACCCCATCATATGTACACCCGGTCAAACAGACACATGGCTGCACTCCATCATGTCTGTCGTGGAATCACAAACACACACACACACACACACACACACACATACACCCATTTGTGTTTAATTAAAGATTAAAGTTAATTGTACACAGATGAACTTATGTTTGCATAATTACTCGGTTAGAGCATCCTCAAGGTAAATACACTTTTTATTATATTTGACTACACAAAAGAGTGTGACTACTTGGCCCCATGATTTAAAAACAGCGCACAGTTGCTTGGCGTTCAGTTGGCGCAGTGGATTACGGCTGACTTCTGCTGCGAGCTGACTCACATTTTCAAAGTTCAGAGGTTAATCCGCCATGTTTGCACACCCAGGCCAGATGCCATCCAACGCTGGGAGACTCCCAAACGCAGAGAGGTGTAATGAGCTAACTAGATCTGAGCGCTTTATCTGTATGGGAGCGTAACATAGTCTGAGCCGGTCACAGATAGTAAAGATAGTGCATGAAGGGAGAGGAGGCCAAGTCACATCTTTCAGTTTTTCTATATTTTACTTCATGAAAGTCAAAGCAGCCAATCGTGATAAAGTCAGCTAAGGTTACAGTGACAGTGTGAGTGCAGGGTCTTTTCCCCCGATGAGATTTTAATGTGATGCTCCCATAACAAAGACTTGCTGAAACAAGGATTTGTGGTAATTGTAAAATCTTAACTCTATATCAGCTGAGCAATTTCCCCTAAATCTAGTTGAAACTATGGGTTTTATGAATTAGCTGACTCAGCAGCATTTCTGTCTTTCTTTAAACAGAAATAAACACACCCTCACTCACTCATGCTTCCCAGTAGACCGTTTGCTGGGTTTCTCTAATCGTTGTTGGATGAAACAGTAGTTGGAATGTGGACCAAGATTCTGTCAGCGTGTTAGATACGGATGAAAATACAGTGAAAATAAATCATTCCCCTTTTTGCTAGGGACCTCCTGCAACCCCTCAAGCACTCTTAGTTCATGAAATGAAAGATTAAAATAGAAAGAGATTGTCAGATAAAATTACTGAAAATATTTATTCATTGCAGTATGTAGACATTAACATTCTGATTATTGTGTCGTATCAGTAAATTCATCTTTGTTTCACTCAACCCTCAATGAATTTGAGACATTTTTAAAATAAAGTTTTAAATTTCCCTCTGAGTCTTTTAAACCCAAGGGGAAAAAAACCTAAAACACATATTTAAATTTTGTTTAGTCCCATCAACGAAAAAAAAAGGTTTAAAAAATTACTATCAAACAATTCGGATTGTTTGCCAATACATTTTTGTGGATCTATTCGATTGATTGACAAAAGGTTTTATCAATTTCTTATTAATTTCCATTAATTTGGTCTTTTCCTGGCATCCTGCAATGGAAACCACAACGCGTATACAAAAAACAATAAAGCAGAATGACAAAATTTGTAGTTTTCAACAAGATATATAGACGCAGCAGGAGCGTGCATGGGAATTATACAACATGTGTGCTGCTCTAAGACATGAATCATTAGATAAGCCGCAGGAGGGAGGTATCTGGAAGAGGTTGAAGCTCTCCAGGGCTGTGAGGCAGTTAACAGTAAATGTCAAGGAAAACTCACAATATAACTCTCTCCCACAGAGCATTTTATCTCACTCTTTTCATCTCTCCGTTCCAGTGGAAGGAGCGAAGGAGGAGAGGGTCAGGTTGGGTCGTGGATCTAGAAGAAGTGTGCTGCTCTGGGAGATCAGTTTAAGGGTTTTATGGGGCATGAGACGAGGTCTTAAGACGTCTTTTTAATAAAGCCCCCTGCAGGTCCCTTCACCTGCCTGCTGCCAGAGATCCCTGGTGAGATGTTATTTGCAGTGAATAAGGAGGAGGAGGAGGAGGGAATAGAGCAGGATTCTGTAGCTCAGTATGAACATGAGTGGCATGCCTGGACTCTCACATCACTGCACTGGAGAGAGAACTGAGCTGAACTCAGAAACCGCTGGAAATCGGTCAAACCAGCGCAGCTCAACAAGCAGCAAATTAAATCAAAGCGATAAACAAGCACCTAATAAAGTAGCTGATTCCTGACGTAGGAGCAGCCAGAAAAGAGAAATGCTTTGCCGTACCTGCACCTCAACCAGCTAACTCGACAGGAGCTCTTACTTTCTTTGTTACATAAGGCCAAATCTGACTGGAACATCCTAATCCCTGACCAGAGAAGGATGAGCGCAGACAATCCCTGACTCAACTCCGCCTCACCTTGAAATATTCAGTTCTCCTGTTCTATAGACAGGCCACATGAGCATGGCAGGGCTGACACCAGAGGACGACTGCCAGGTCTGCCTGAGGCCAACCCTCAACCATCACACACATACAGCATCCTCCCACAACCATGACACAACTAATGAAAGTAAGATCTGCAAACTGGTGATACACAATCCATCCATCCATCCATCCATCCATCTATACATAACTCGTCTTTCTACATTTTCAAATCAACTAAAACAAACTATACGAGTTACTGTTTAAAGAATAGACTGAGAATGGGTTTTGAATGAAAAACTGGACAAACAATATCACATAAACTTTACCCACCACACACACACACACACACACACACACACCTCCAACACTGAGATTTCTATATGGCCAGTTTGAACAGGAGGAAAGATTATAGCAAGCAAAACCTGTTTCCTCATGAGCATCAGACCGTTTAAAGGTTATGAAAACAAGTTCCAACGTTCAGCCTGCTGTATTTACCACTAACAAGATAGGGTCACTGGTTTCAACGTGGAACAAAACAGCATAAATGCCAATGTGACCTGTACATAGCATTAGAATACTAATCTAGGTGATTTCATTCACTTGTTGCTACTTGTATTTATCTTTGTCATTGCATCCAATGCAGAAAGGAGCACAAACCCAAAAAAACAACTGTAATGGAACTCAGTCCATTTAAATTGAATCCAACTGCACCACATTCACACACTCATTCTGAGTCAAGTAAATAGGTCAGATTTTTTTCTTTGGGAAAACAGTGAAAATGTTGAAAATCTCATGATCCGCATCCACCAAAATGTAATTGGTTCTTCCTTGGCTCATACCACATCCCTCTAGCAGGTTTTGTGAAAATCTGTTCAGTTGTTTTTGTTTAATCTTGTAAACAAACAATCAAACAAACAAATGGACAGGATTAAAAACATCACCAGAAATCTGAGCAAGGTTGACAATAACCAAGAAACCATTTCAAGAACTATAACACAGGTTAGCTCCAAGATTTAAAATGTATGTCATTTCTGAAATGTATGTTCTTCTGTTTTCTACAGGTAGAATTAAGTGGTCATTTTCTGCATCATCTGCAATTCAAAACCTAATCTGTTAACATCAGACATCCCATGAAACACAGTCGGTGAATAAAATGATTCATTCTTACCTGAATTGGCTCTTGGGTCAGTCTCATCGGTCCCACACATTCCTCTGTAGCTGAAACCTGCAGGCAACAGATGAGGATGTGTGAGTAACAATCCAAAAACATAAAACACACACACTCACAAAACAACAACAAAACAACCATGTGAACATTTCTTACCATTTTACCATTGATATCCAGGAACATATTGACATATTGGTTTTCCTTGCATGACCCGTCTGTCCCTGTCTCACTTCACCACGTTTAATCTTCCCCCTCACCTCCTATAGTTTGAAGACTTCACAGAGCAACAAGACAGTACTTCCTCTCATGAGCCAGATGTCAGGAGTAACACGAGACAGTAATATCCTTCAAAACAATAAATATCCCTGCATACGTTTTTTTCCCTGCAGGTTTTGTGATCGCATCACTGCAGACATGGGTAGTTACATGTGGTATTAGCGCCCAGAATGGAGCTTCCCACTGCAAACCCTCTTTAGAAGGTATTAGCAGCCAGCCACAGACTGAAGTCACAGGTTTACTTGCATAATCCTACTGTAGGAGCACTGAACACTGTGCTACACGTGCCACCATTGAGCATATGCTTGCACACACATGCTTACACCGCACAGTGAATCAGCTGTGTCTCAGAACACACTGTATCACAGTGGGTGCATCATCAGCTTTGTATTATTCCTGGGTATTAGCCATCAGTTTTGTATTTCTGTGTTGAGCGGTGAATCACTTTACTCATTGAAAGAGTTTTGTTATGTGTTTTTCCAGGTAAAATATTCATAAAATACACACTCATAACACATCCAGAGGGGAATCCTCCAGATGAAGGTCTCCAAGCAGCAGAAGAGAAATATCTGTGAGGTATTCACACGGAGAGATGAGAAAAAAACTGGGAGGGGGATTTCAGTTCATTCTTCGGATAATGCATTCTACGCACAAAGAGGAGTTGTGTGAGGTAGACAGGAGCTGGTGACTCAAGGACTCATCATTACAGTCGCATTTGTCAGTGGTAATTAGGGCTTAAAGGTGGCCGTACCTCAACCCACATCTAGTCTCAACTGGTCACTACCAACCACCGTCGAACTGCTCACGTCATCAAGAGCCTTTGGGAGCTACGCAAGAAACCTCAAGAGGCTAATTTGTGGTATCAAGCATGTTTCTTCAAGTGTATGAATGAACTCATGCAGCAATATTCACCGATTTATTCCGAAAACATCTGTCAATAGGAGAAAGACATATCACACAAACCGTTCATCTTTTAGCTTCACACTTGGTGTATTATTAAATGCCCAGAACACGCGATATGTTTGATATGATTAAAAACTGAACAATAATAATAATAAACTTTGTTTAGGACCTTTTCAAAATTCAGTTTGACATGTTAAAGGTCAGGTCTGCGGGCCGAGTTGGATTTGACAAAGTACAGCAGTGATCGTGAGCTGGCAATAATATCTGACCTGCATTTTGATAGTCACATAATTTGTATTTCACCATATCAGACTGACAAAGACTTTCACGCGTGTTGATCTACATCATGGCAACAACATTCATAAAATCACTTCCTCTTTAGCAGGTTGTCTTCAAAGTAAAAGCACAGCATTTGTTTTGTTGCTGCTATGCTTTATATTGAGTGGAATTACAGAGCTTTTATTTTGTTGTTAACTTGGATCTGAAGATTGTGTCTCCTGCTTAACAGACCTCTGAAATGGCCGAAAAAATAAAAGCATTCAGTAAATCATTGAAACTCATATAGGGCAGGTAGGATGGACACAAAGGTTTCTAACTTTACTCTGCAGACAATACAAAGTGACATCATCTTTATTATTCTTATCCAACAACCCACTGTGTATCTGTTAACTTGCCTGTTTGCAGTTTTTTTTCAACTCACTTCTGGAAAATGTGCAATAACTTTTACATTCGTATTCCATACAGTTAAAGTTGTCTCTACATTTGCGTCCTTGAATGTCACACTGCACCTTTGAATGTATATAGTGCAATGTTTTGCATTTGACTTTTTTTATATTAAGCTCTTTGTACCTTTGCTCTTCATTTTAATTTAACTATTGGACTGCTGAGCTGACTTTCTTCTCGTCCAACACCTTTCATCATACTGTAGACCCTGTGTTAACTTGCACATGACAAATAAAAACCACATTGAAACTGTTCGAGGAGGAATCACTAATGACAGGGAATAATTCTGAAGTAGCTCTGGAGAATTAACACAGGCCAAGAGAACAGCCCATTCCGAACAGGGAGATGCAAAGTGAACATTGTTGGTTATAAAACACATCCTTAGTTTATATCCAGTTGAATCCATAAAAACTCAATCTGCAGGACTTTCAGGGGGATTATGGATTGACAGTGACAGAAAATTGTCTGTGGAACTATTAGTAATAAGCTGATTGAGAAAATAAATGTTCATGACCTTTACATGGCAGAATGTGCCCAATACGACTGTGTGTCTTATTTCCTGTGCAGAGATTCTTTTTTTTGTCAGCAAATCCAAATCAAACACAGGCCTGCCTGAATTTCTTACTGACATAAACAAAATGAATCATGTGGACACAGCCAGCGCCGCTGAAGCGCGACAGTAACCGTTATCAGGAAGTAGGTGTGGGAAGGCTGTCTGTGATGTTTATATGCTGTTAATGCAAACAAAACACTTCCTGGAGCTGCTTCACATGAATAATTCCCAAATGTAAACAATGATCATGTCTTTAACTGTTAAAGAGCTGAACAAAGGTGGTGAGTGACTTATGGGAGCTTTATATGGAGACTGTCCTCCCCAAAAAAACAGCTAACATTTAAAAATGATATGTTTATGTTCTGCTGACAAAGTCCTCAAATGGCTGTATGAAGGAAGTAGTAAGACGTTATAAAGGCAGGTCAGCTGGTCAGGGTGGTTGGGTGGGTTAGGGTTAGAAGAGTTTTCCTAAACCATAACTACATAGTTTAATCTCAACAAAGTCATTTTTGTATCTAAACCAAACTGTAAGAATGATCAGAAACTGCTTTTATTACACCTGCTATGTAGTAGCAGGCAGGTGTATTGCAATTGGTGGCGTTTGTCTGTCTGTCAAAGTGATAACTCAGGAAGATTTAATCCAATTTGCATTAAATTTGGTACTTGGTTGGGAGGTAGGTTCAGGACCTGCGCTGTTCAAATCTGCCAAAGGTCAAAGTCACAGCATGGGGAAGTACACACATAGCACATATACATACTGAAAATAGTCTGAAACTTAGTTTCATGTTTAATTGGTGTTACATACTTAAAAGCATATAACAATAGAGAATTGATATTTTTAGCTGCAGCACGCACAATGAATAAATATATGGTCATCAGGTCTTACAACCGCATATTACAATGATATTATCAATGCATTATCATTATGGTTAACTTAATATATTTTTCCAAATATAATAATTTCATCATTTTGTCAATCATTGCATTTTGCTTTGATTAAAAGGTAAAATTGTTGATACTCAACTACTTTAACAATGTAGCAAATTTCAGAAGAGATTCTGACAATAAAGTGTAATCTAATCTCTCTCTCTCTTTCTATATATATATATAGATATAGATGGAAATATATAATATAGAAATACTTTATGGCGATCTGAAGACGCTCAGTCACGTTCTCCCAGTTGATTATGCTCCAGATCAACTTAACATAGTCCAGCCACACACTTTAGTACTGAAGGTAGTAGGCATGCTCCCATACGTCAATACCAAGAACAGGGGTTAAACCTGTTACAGACCTACACGTTAGTTTGTTGATGAGAGTATATATGTGTTGTCATTGGGACCTCACATCACAGCTGTTTGTCTCCGTGAACATAGGGATTATTGCAAAGCTGAGCAGAAATCACTTTCATGTCATTTTAATTGTGAGGTCAGAGAAATTAGGTAAATCAAATAAAGATACAGCCCAAAGGAGCTACAGACACATCAAGTCAGTCAGAAAGATGAGGAGCGTCTGGTCTGGTAGGGCCGAGGCAATGAATCCTCTCTGAGTGTCAGTGAGAACAGTTAGTAATATTTCTGTGTCCTTGAGGGTTGGCTTCGTGAGAGAAAATGAGCAATCTTGTTTTATTTAAAACACAGCTAGATGTGAAACAGAGCAGGAAGGTAAAGTGATAGTAACAGGGACACGGAGAGAGATCCGCCGGCGGAGTTAGAAGATGATGGAGGAAGTGTTGGTGGTGGCTGACAAAATCCTTATGGAAAGACAGGAGGGGGAAGGAAGTGAAGGAGGATACAGGATAGAGTAAACAGACAAAGGCCTTGGAGAGGTAATGGAGTGGTCGCAGAAAGATGGATGGATGAGGAGAAGAAGGAGAAGTCGGCACTTGATTCATAAGGATTCAGAAAAGGAGGGAAATACAGCAAAGAAGTCAGAGATGTTCTGAAAGTGATGAAGAAAAAACTAACTTTCTCTGATTATAAAGAGAGAGGATATGCGGAAAATCCACCCTGCCCCCATCAACACCTTCATATCATCATGTGAGGGGTGCTAACAGAATGTATGTTGTTTTGAGTTAGCTGTGACTTCATTGCTCTGATTTTTAAGAACAAATCTTTGTTTATAGTTTGCCACCATTAGAATTAGTTGTCCCTGTTAGCAATTTACCCATGGATACGCAGACACAACTAGAATTCAGCAGATACCTCCGCCAAGGCCCCATAAATTCAATCAGGCTGCACCAATGTTGCATACACTGCAGCAGTTTTCAGTCATGAACTCGGGAGGATGTCCGCACAAATGGCTCCAGACTTTCTCCAGAGTTTGTCTTTCACTCATGAACAATGCAGAAGCAGATTCTCTAATCGTTCACAACAACACAGAAATCTGTAGAGCGTTCAGATGAGGAGTGGTGCAGCAGACAGAGGAAGGATATAAAAATAATTCTGCTGCAGAGATCATGTGTTTTTCTTTGCTGCAGTTTTGCTCTTATCACCAAAAACTCTCTAGACATCTTCGTCTGTAGATTCTACGTGTGGCGTCACGTTTTCATCCTTAGATATTTGTTTTCTTTTTGTTTGTTCTCTTCATTTTTGCATCAAT